ATAAATAAATAACAATTTATTTATAAAATCCTAGGGTTTCTCATTAGAATATTTAGTTTTCCTTCAATCACAGTGATTAAATTTTACTCTATTTCTTCACACTTCATATTCAATATTACATAAAAAACCACTAAGAAGGCTAACAGAACCTAGTTATATATACCCACCAATATTTGATTTTGCACAGAAAAAAAAAAAAAATTATTGAATTAGAAAAACTACATGAAGAGGTCATAGAACCTTGTTTTCAGCATACCTGACTCTAGAAGTTAAACCACTATTAAGAGAGATCATAAAAAAACCAGCAGAACAATTTATAAAAGCAAGCCAGACCTTCAAAATAGAGCATAATTTTAAACACCTACTTGCTTCTGCAGCCACTGTTCTTGCCTTCTTTGCTTCCTCTGCAAGCTCTTCAACTTGTTTCTTTCCCTCTTACTCAGTTTTTGGTTGAAGGAAACACTCACAGGATGCACAGGACCAAGAGGTGTGATGTGCTGCTCCTCTTCTATAGCACTTGTTGGTGAAGAAAGGTTCATCACAGAAGGTGACCCATCATCAATGGCACTCCCAGAAGGTTGCCCAGTAGCTTCAAAATCACACTCACTTTCTGTTTCTCTATGTAGTAGTGTGGTAAAGGAAGTAACCTGACACTTTTTTTGTACTTTGTCAGCACTGGAACTACACAGATCCTGAAAAGAACTACTGTCTTTCCTGTTGGACTCCTGTTGCAAGCCAGGTTGGGTGTAAACAGGTACATTTTCATTCTGGCCATGGCAAACTGTTCCCATACTGCAACTTTCATGTAACACAGGTGACAAAACTAGTCTCTCTCTGATACTTAAATCCAAACTACGTGCTCTTCTGTGAAAAGGTTTTACAGTGCGTATATCATTCATACGATATGAAGCAGAAAGATTTCTTTTTTGATTTAATGCCTTTAAGGGAGGTTTTTTACTTTTCATCCCAAATCTGGGAGCTCTTACTTCTAGACAAAGTGCTTCTGTTAGTCTTCCAGTACCGTTGTTATTTCTGGCCATGCATGCAAGCCGTTGATTTTTGATTTTCAAAGCTGCAGTTACCACTTCGTGGCAGGTACCCTTGATAAAACCAGATTGAATTTTGAGGAGAGGTAAGTGTTTTCCTGATGATTTTGCCAATTTAACAGAGAAAGCTGGCTGACAGTCAGTCCGACTTTTGCAGAAATGTGTATTTGCTAACTGTCCACAGGAACATTTTGTGTTGCAAGCAAAATTAAAGCCTCCTAAGCAGGCCTCACAGAATGGACAGTGCAGTTTTCCAATTGTCCATTGTGCCTATTGACAAGAAAAGAAAAAAAAAACCCATCAAACACAGTCATTGTAGAAAAGACCTGATAGAGAAATCATTAGTAGCGTTACTTTCCTCCTTTAATAAAAAGGTTTACTTTTTGTTTCTCAAACGCAATAGAAGAGACTTCACAGCAGAAAGAAAATCCACCATAAATAATCTACGCTTCTTGCTGCAGTGATTACTAATTCTAAGAAATCTAGAACACCCATTTCAAAGTGCAGGAGCTTTGAAATACATTTAAAATTTCTACACAGAATAATGATGCAATACTAATGAAAACATTAAATCCTTTAAAGCAGTGAAATCAATTTACCATGTTAATCTCGAATTGGCAAGCACAGTTTCTCAGCTGAGTCTTATGAGTGCTGATACATTCCTTGCATACTAAGTACAGTGGAAGATTTCTTACAAAGAGAATATAGCTTTTTACTTTGCTTACCTCACAAAAGCTTGAAATGATACTTGCTGTATGTAGTATTACAACTTAATTTGGAGACAGCTATTTTCATTATTTGTAAATTTTATTAATTTCATTTCAATCCTAAAGGCACTTTTTCAAAAGAAAATTGCTACAAACGATCTATAAACTCCAACCTATTTGCACAACCATTAGTATTTTCAGCAAATGTACTCATCTGTCAGCAGAAACATTTTTGAGTATTAAAGTTATGCAAGTGTTTGTAGGATCAAAGCCCAGATGAGAAACATTATCAACTCCAGTCACACATTACTCACTAGTGTGCCTGAAGTAGGGTTGACGTATGAATACAAAAGGTGCCCAACATTTCTAGCTACAGCATTGCTTTCAGCTGCAAATGTCTTCCAAGGTAATTTGGGAAGATGATTCCATGACTGGTGCTTGCCTGGTTGAAAGCTTCAGAAAGTTTCAGTAAAACCAATCTTGCAGTTTCAGGAAAAGCACTTGTGCAGAAAATCTGTTATTTTTCACATTCAGCGCTAGAAAAAGTTCTGAAAAAACTTCTTTCATTTCTTTAAGAAACTTACTCCTCCTGCCTTCTGGGTTAAAACCTCGTAATTTCACCAAGTATCAGACGTGTCTTTCATTGCACCTATAACAGCCTGTTTGAATCTGGACATGTTTTTAACACAAAGAAAAAGAAAAATCTCAGTTTACATATGCCAAAAGGGTCTCAGATCCCTGAAAACTCCTTGAACATGCACAGCCTTTTTCAGTTTATAAGGCTGACAAACGTGTGCATATGCCATTCCAAAAGAAGAATTAAGCTGGTTCAGAGACTTACTCTGTTTTCCACACTCCATTTCTCAGATTCCATGGGCTAGGCACTAAATTTCAGGGAAAAGCACTTCCTAGTGCCTGTAGCCTTTCTAGCACTAAGGCACCATGGAAAAGTAACCTGGATCTCCAAATGGAGAGGAGGAGTGATTCAGGACAGTTAGGAGAAAAGGCTAGCAGCCTGGCAACAATGGGAATGCCAGAGACTGTAGGGAAGGAAAAGGGCATCTCTGTGTCCTATGTGTGTCTGGGAGATGAGGTGCAGTACAAGTGAGTCCGGGACTGATTTAGCAGGAGTTTGGCAACAGACTGTGGAAGCATTGACTCAGTAAAAGAAGTAACAGCCTACTAGTGGAGGAGGTGGCAGGGGGAAAATCTGCAAAATCTGAAAAGAAGCTGAGGGTACATAGATTTAATGATGGACGGTATAAAGAGGAAAAACGGGTAATGGTTAGCCAAAGAAGCTAAAACAAGAGATGAGTGATTGGGAAAAGAAAATGTGTGTCAGTAAAGGTCACTAGCAGCACTAGCTAGATATTTATAATTATTGAAGATTACCTATACACTAACGTGTACATGACACCCAATGTGATTGGTTACGAGCAGGGACAGATGGCAAAAAAGAACTGGCTGGGAAGCAGTGGGTTTTTACAGCCTGCAAATAGACTTCATGCTTATGTAAAATGATTTAGCCTTTGATTCAGGAGTCATACAGGAGAAAATAACACATGGTCACAAAATTATTCAGAGCCCAGGAGGGTCTGCGGGTAAGTCAGAGTTGTTTAAAAACCCCACACATTTATCTATAAATCCACAGGATCCTTCCAGAGAAGTCAAAAGCAAATAAGGCAAGAAGTCTCAGGATATTAAAGGACAAAATGAATGCTAATTATTTAAGGTGTTCGCAGAGAATTGCATCCTCTGCCTCTGCCACCAGAAAAGCATTGCTCCTCTGCAATCTTGAAGAAATATGTTAAGTCTTTTCTGAACAATCTATGGGGTTTCTGTTTCTCAGGGTTCCAGCCTGACCTTCTAGGCTTTCAAATGCAGAAAGTTGCCCATTAACCACCTAAGGTGAAAAGAATAACACTAGTATCAATATTGAATCAAATTTTACTCAAATAATACAACATGCAAAGTACTGTAAAACCCTGCATCTTTAAATTGAGATTAGGCAATTCTGTAAAGTGGGAAAATACCACATCACCCCTAATTTTCACACCCCTCCATAAGGCTGTTTCTGCAACAGATACATTATTCTGTCTTGCACTTTCACACTGAAGATACCATAAGATGTGTAAGAGATAATGAATTTTAGAAAGAGTTTAATGTTTAACAAAATAAAACATAAAGCAAAACAATGACAGAAGGTGAAACAAATTTCTTAATTTTTGAAGGCTTTGTTTTATAGTTATAACAATATTTTTCTTTGTGTATCATTTTTGGGATGGATTTGCTTAGATCAGAAGTTACTCTCAGAATAGTAACACTTAGACACTGAAGTTTAAGCAGAAAGGAATACAGGTATCATTTGTCTCTCAAAATCAAAGACTTTTTATGAGTCTTTATGAGAAAAACTGGGGCAAAAGAAAAGCACTGTTTCTGCTTATTATATCTATGCAATAACATTAACTTCTAGACCTCAATTAATTTAAAGAAAATACTCAAATGAATCAAAGAGTACAAGAGTAAAGTTTGAGATGTTCTGCAATTTCAATTGGGCAGCTGAAACTCAAAAGCAGTGACACTGGCTTGCCATCAGACCTTTGAATTTGCAGGAAGGTAACTACCTTCAAATGGCATAATAGCCTATTAAATACAAAACACATCACTTCATATTCCAACAACTGTCCTCTTAACAACCCCTTAGTTCAGTTTTAGGAAGAAACATGCTTCTTACTGTTGCTGTCAGCATATGCGTTAGTACTGCAAGATACGATGATCAAGACAAACCAAAACTCAAAACCTAGACAAAAAATGTAATTTTAAGCACTGACAGACTACGTAGAGATGCCCTTGACAGTTATTTGGACAAACACAAATATGTTCACATACATATATGTGCAGGAACAAAATTTATCATTTGCAGGTTTTGTGCATACCTTAAAAAAAATTAAGAGGGAAAAACCACTCTGTAAATGCTAATGATAGAAGTTACTGAGAAAAACTCCCTCAGTTGGAAGGTCCCTACAGTACATGTGGAGTCTGGCAGAAAAGTGCCCTTGAAATTTGCTCCCCTTACTTATTTTACATTTCAAACGATATAGATGGAAGCAAAGAAAGATCTATCTTTTCAATGACACTTTTCCCCCACTCTGGTATGGCTTCTTAGTTCACAAGCCCTACTTTGCAAGAATCCTGAGCAGCAGCTGAAGGTTGTGAATTGTACTGATATTCAACATTTATATAAGCTTTTTCTGTTTGAATATAGCCAGAAGTCTGCTTCCCAAATTCAGTAAATATTTTATTAACAAATGATGAAACCCAAATATGTTGGTGCATTTTTTAAGCTAAAAATCAGGTAGATGCTGTCAATGATTGTCTGTTTCTGAATCTAAGGACATTGGACAGACTCCACTATGGAGCTGGAGGCGTCTGGAGGTGGTTTTGTTTAGTTTATAAGAACGGAAAGTATGCAATTGCTGATCTTCCAAGTATTTTTGGAACTCTATTTCAGACGCACTATCAGGTGCTAAAATTTTCCACTAAAGACATGAAAATTTAAGTTCTGGTTTATAAGATAACTGTGATCAGTATTGCACAACTATGGAATAAATAGTTATAAAATAATTTTCTAATGCTTGTTAGAATAACTAGCAGAGAAACCAGGGACTCTTAGCGACTTCTGAGTTTTTACTGCAATGATGTAGCCAACTGAAAAGAAAACAAAATCTAAAGAAAAGTAGCATTTCACTAACTGATACTAAAATAAAACCAACTACCTAGCTACCTTTTAGTGAAGTGATACAAGTGTAATTAAACCTTTTAGTATAGGTTTAGAATGTCAGTAAAGTTATAAAGATGGCTAAAAATATAAGGAAACTCTAGTGAATGTTAAAGCCTTAAAATCAGTTGCTAAAATTTATGAATAAGAAAAATCACTGACTCCTATGTTATGGAACTCATGGGAATAAAGTTTCATTATGCTGAAAATTGAAAATGGGACTATACACAGAAGACAGAAACTTTTAGCCACTCTCCAAGTAATGACATTAGACAGACAGATCCATTTGCCATGTTTATGCTATTGTCTTCCTTCTATCTGTGGAAAATACTCATTCAACTTGGATATAATTCTGATTTGAAGTGTTTATACTGCATTAATAACTTCAACACTTGGTTTTCACATTTGTTCTAAGATCTTTCTGTCTTACTCATATTCCTGGTGTGTCTTTTACTGAAGGGCTAAGATTCACCAGGGAAGCTGACACACTGAAAACATTAGTCTTTTCATTGTAGTATAATCTTTGCCTCCCTATGTCTTAGGATGAAAAATTACCTTTTTTCACCTGCTATTTACATCATTGGAGAAGATCTATAGTCCACCAGTGATGGTGGACCTCCAATAGCAACTAAAAGCTCCACCATGGGGTATGGACAAAGATATCTCCTTCTTTGCAATAGCTTGTTTCTACAAAAGCAGTGGAAATTTACACACACAAACATAAAAAAAAGATGCTCCAAACCATGCACAAAAGAAAAGATCCTCAAGTATAAGGCATGAAAACTATTCCAGAACTTCAAGCTCTGTAAGCGAAGTGATTAAAAATGTGGTTTATTGGTGATACTAATTATATCAGGATCTTAAGAATTAATAATTTTGTTTCTACCTCTATTGGTTAAACCCTTCCCCAGTGTCAAAAAGAATGATGTTAAATTTCTTTCACATTACATAGTGTGTTAATAAAAAAGATCAACATGTTCCCTTCCATTTTCTTTTTTGCTTTGATTCAAGATCATGGAATGTAAGCACAGTCTTCTTGACATATTTGGAAAGACTCTCTTTATGATTGCTATCTGCCACTATAAAGCAGCAGGAAATACCCTGTCATGTCTTCTTCCACATGATTTCTTTTTATTTTTCTGTTTACTTTAATAAAGATGATGCAAATTACTATGTGGTATTTTAGCCTGGCCAGGCATGCCTCAGGGCAGACTAATCTGAACTATTTTTGTGCACAGACTATCTCCCCATTTTTCAAATCGAAGAGCAGAAGTTTTTGGTATAGGAATGTTGGACACACAGTTAACTACTCCAGTGGAAATTAGTATCCCTACTTAAAACACATATTAGAAACAAATAGCAAAATATTGAAACAAATGTTGAAACTACTGTTGTAGTAGTAAATACTGAAATAAATATTAAACCAAAAAATGACTGCACTAAAACTGTCAAAACCAGAATCCACTTTTATACAGAAAATGGTAACACTATGTACTCTACACAACCTAGCAGTCAAATGTGCCATGAATACCAGCCTTCATGTCAGAGAACATAAATGTGATCACTGCCTGCTTGGCTTCACTAGCATTACTTCCCACATTACTGTCTATGGAACTGTCCATGTTTTTGTACTTACCTCCAGAGAAGATAAATTAGTAAGTGATGGCAGGTCTAATACTTCTCCTTTACTTAAAACAAATGGCACCAGAAAAAGTTACAAACTTCCTCCAGATCCTATACTTACTTTGGATGGTTCTTTTCCGTGACATTTTGCAAGGCAAACAGAATTTAGTATATATTTTCTGCACCTCAAGCAATGTAGAACATCAGCCTCTTGGTTACTCATTTCAACTTGTGACTCTTCAGCTCTATATGTCTATCTATAAAGACCACAAAACGTAAAATTTATTCACCTGCTGAAACCACACATGCTTTCCTCTTGTGATCCAGAAATAGATCAGTAGTCTCTTCACTATAGAGGACACTAATATTTTATTTACAAACATTGTCTGTCTGATCTTGTACAGCATGCCACTGACATTTTAGGTACCAAAGCAAAACAGTTGGTTTTATTTCCATGTTGCATACAGAACTACAAAGCAACAACAACAACAAAACCATTTTCCTTTGTGTCTTGCTGTGTTCTGATGTCTCTCTGATCTTCTCTAATCTGTTCCCAAAGTCTTCCCATTTCGGCATGCTTTCTTCAGAGGCCTTCCAACTCTTCCTTCTACCTGCTTCTGGTTTTACCCCCTTATGATAGCTACATTAAAATAAATCAAGAAAACCTTTTACATCTACACACCTAGCTCAATCACTGTGCTAGAGTTATGCTTACTTACACTGCTCAAGTGCACAGCACTTACTGACAGGGAAGCTGGGGTGTACAACTTAAAACCAGTGTTATAAGAATCTCTGTACTTCCACTGTCCAAACATGATTTTGAAATCTTTTCAACACTTTCATCTTTATTTAGTTTTCACTAACTAAAGAAACTCTGAGGTCCTCAGTATAGGCTGTCTGAAGAGCAGTTTGGCTTATTGAGCCATACAGACCTGTGTATTTCCTCCATTTTCCCGTTTTCTGCCTTGTTTTCCAAACTAAATACTACAAAGCATACACAGAGAAGTTATTAATTATTTTCATTTATATCTGAGTTATTTTTTTAGCAGATTTTCTATGTACGTAAAAGATGCGAAGAGTCTGAAATACGGTTTGAGAAAGAGCAGAGGCGTGCGTACTTTAGGCTCCTAGCTCAAGTGTACATGCAGCTTTTAATAACCAGGTCCATGCTAAGCTGAGAAAGTGAAATTAAGGCATACATTAAATCTTCTCCTGCAATTTCACAAAAAATTAAAATTAATTTTTGTTAAGATTTCATTAATGTATTTTAATGGAAGTTAAGATGTCCAAGCAAAAGACAACAGAAAAAAACACTTTCTTGGAAGGCAGAATTTACACTGGAAATCTGTTTTGTTCCTGACAAAAATGTGATGACTCAACACCTCGAGTTAAGCAGAATGCCTGTCAACATTTTATTAATCTTGCTATGTCAGTGCTGCTACTTGCTGTAAAAGACATATTTCAAAACTGGAATGTATAAAAATATTGTCCCTCTCTACGAATGACTTTTTTAATTTAAAAAAGCAAATTCATGCTCTGAAAGATTTTTACAAGCACTCTGTATCACTTTGCTGTGATAAATGCAGCATGGCACTTCACAGGATATTGAAAGAATGATTACCAGTTATGAATTTTTTTCTATCACTCAAACACCTTAAAGCTGTTCTAATTAATTTATTCTTCACAATTTCATAATACACTTCTAAAATGAATTTAGTAACAGCTCGGTGAGAACCTCAAATCTAAGAGCAACCAGGAGGACTGGCTTTTTGCATAAGACTAACTCAGACCTGCTTTTCAGGTACGGTCATAACCCCATCTACTAAAATGCATTCCTGATATATACTACAGTTAGTATTTGCACTGTGTATTCAAATGGTAGATAATTATGTGTCTGTATAGATTCTGTTCCCCTTATGCTAATTGTTGTAGAAAAAGTCATTTTGGTATCAACTGAACATCTGCTTCTTTTGAGGCTGATGATGCTTACTGCAGCACGGTATAAAACAATTGGTGATAGACCGCTGAACCAACAGATAAAGAACTGAGGGACAAATGCACTTGCTATATTTAAAAGATAAGGTTCAAGTCATGCAAACAAATGCTGTCTAAGGATCACTGGCATTTGAAGTGATGTAAACATTCCTCTCACCTCAACAGTATCTAGCATGCAAGCAACCACCGTTTTAGTGGAAAATAAAAACTCTTTTTCAATTTTTTAAAAAAACTTTAAAAGCTTCCTCTTAGTTCTGCATACATCATTCATTTTGAAATATGCTTCTGTAAGAGAAATCACAGAGTCATAAAATGGTTTGGGTTGGGTTGGAAGGGACCTTGAAGATCATTTCGTTCCAAACCCCCTGCCACGAGCAGAGACATCTTTCACTAGACCAGGTTGCTCAAAGTCCCACCCAACCTGGCCTTGAACATTTCCAGGAAGGGGGCATCCACAACTTCTCTGGGCAACCTGTTCCAGTGTGTCATCACCCTCGCTGTAAAAAATTTCTTCCTTATATCAAATCTAGATCTACCCTTTCAGTTTGAAACCACTAGCAGTCATCTTATCACTACGTTCCCTGATAAAGACTCCCCTCCTCACTTTTCCTTTAGGCCATCTTGAAGTCCTGGAAGGCTACAATTTGGTCTCCCTGGAGCCTTCTCCACACTAATGCCCTTTGCCAATACTTTTCAGTCTTTACTCACACCAATGATATTCCAGCCCCCTGAACATCTTTGTGGCCCTCCTCCAGAACTGTTCCAACAGGTCCATGTCTTTCATGTACTGAGGGCTCCAGAGCTGGTCACAGTACTGCAGGTGGGGTCTCACCAGAGCAGAGCATAGGGGCAAAATCTTTGACCTTCGACCTGCTGGTCACACCTCTCTTGATGCAGACCAAGATATAAACAGTTTTCTGATCTGCAGGTACACATTGCAGGCTCACATGAAGTTTTTCATCCACCAGCGCCCCCAAATCCTTCACAGGGCTTCTCTCAATCCCTTCATTCCTCAGTTTGTATTTGTGCTTGAGATTGCCCCAATCCATGTGCAAGACCTTGCACTTGGCCTTGAACTTCATGAGGTTCATATGGTCCCACTTCTTAAGTTTTTCAAGGTGCCTCTGGATGGCACCCCTTCCCTCCAGCCTGTTGACTGCACCACACAGCTTGGTGTCATTGACAAACGTCCTGACAGTGTGCTCATTCACACTCTCCGTGTCACCAACAAAGATGTCAAACAGCACCGGTCTCAGAACCAACCCCTGAGGAATGCCACTCATCACTGGTCTCCACTTGGACATCCAGCCACTGACTGCAACTCTTTGAGTGTGACCATCCAGCCAATCTCTTACTCACCGAGTGGTCCATCCACCAAACCCACATCCCTCTGGTTTAGAGACAAGGATGTCGTGTGCGACAGCGTCAAACGCTTTGCATGAGTCCAGGTACATGACAACAGTTGCTCTTCCCTTATCTACCAACACTCTAACCCCATTATAGAAGGACACCAAATTTGTCACGCAGTTTGCCCTTACTGAAATCATGCTGGCTGACACCAATCACCTCCCTAATTTCCACGTGCCCTAGCATGGTTTCCCAGAGGATGTGCTTCATGATCTTGCTGGGCACAGAGGTGAGGCTGACTGGCCTGTAGTTCCCTGGGTCTTCCTTTTTTTCCTTTACAAAATGGGAGTTATGTTTCCCTTTTTCCAGTGACCAAGAACTTCACTGGAGTGCCACAACTTCTCAAATATGATGGAAAGTGGCCTGGCAACTTCATCTGTCAGTTCCCTCAGACACTCGGTTGCACCTCATCAGGTCTCATGGACTTGTGCACCTTCAGGTTCTTTAGACGGTCTCAAACCTATCGTCTCTAACAGTGGGCAGTTTTTCATTCTCCCAGTCTCCACCTGCCTTTGCCTTCTGCGACTTGGGTGGTGTGGCCAGAGCACTTGCCAGCAAAGACAGAGGCAAAAAAGTCACCTCACCCTTCTCCATGAATCTATAACATACAACATATTTAATAACCCACATGGCACAGGTTGTGTTTCGTGTAACCGAGAATGCTGATAGTGAACCACGTGGAAAAAAACTTCCTCAAAATGCAAATACTTCTTAAGACTATATTGTAGTAGGCTGAAGTGTTCTTCTGGCCTAGCAGAATTTAAAAATTAAATCAGATATTATCAGGTAGGTCTACTTCCATTCTGCACATGTGTGAAGAGGTTGCTACACGAATCATACTAGAAAACAGCAAATGAGACATTTCTGATTTGTTACATAAACACTCATTTTTATTTTTATTTGCATATAACTTTAACTGGAACCCAAATGAAAGTATACAAACACAGGATTTTGAAGTGTCTTTATAGTTAAACGCATTTTAACCATAGTGTTTTGGATATATTTTAATAAGTTTTTATTTGTCTTGTTTTGCACCTAAAACTACTAAAAGGCATCTTACTCTCACTTCGCTTTGTCTTTCAGAAAAAAATGCCAACATAATGATAAAAAATTTCAAGTTGGCCTTCAGAAACTAGGTAGAGTAACTCTCAGTGGCCTTTTCAGCTTGGCACTGGGCCACGTGTGTTGTGGCTGTACTGCTTTCAGATCAGTTGCTTTTCGTGAGCTCATGTTTGTCTCCAAAATAGCATGCAGACATACCAGAGTGTAAAAAGGCCTATGCTCCTTTGTGGCTCTTGTTTTATGTTCTTCAAATGTTTTTCTTTGATTCAGTTCCAGAAAAGCCAGGAGCAGAGGGTCCTAAGACCTCCTTCCCAAGCCAGAGTCTCAGTTCCCTTTCCTGAAAATCATTTGCCTAATTTTCTTTTACACACCTTTGACAAGGATTTCACAGCTTTCCCAAACTATTTCTTAACTTCCATTATTTTAACTTTTCCCATGACATCAACTTGCTCACAATTTCCTTTATTTGCTTTGAATACAGAGAATGAATAGCTCCTTTCTGTCCATGCAAGAACATTCTAGAACTTTAAACACTTATTATATATTCACTCTGCTTCAAACTTGTCTTTGGGTTAAATAAATCCAGTTATTTCCCTCTTTCCTTGCAGATTACGCTTTCTTGATCTCCAACTGTCACTGCTACTTTGTCAAGTCTTTCATATGGGTCAGCTATTCTCGCAGAGTAGTGTTCAAATCTGGATGCAGAACTCAAAATGGAGTTTTACCAGCCCTGAGTAGCCTAGACAGATTATATAAATT